ATTTCAGGTTTCCTAATCCAGACTCTAGCAGGGATTATTGTCTGCTCAGGTCGTCCACCTGTCTGGTGGAAATTGGACAGTAAGCCCAACCATCCATGTCCAACTACGTAGTGGTTGTTCAATAGTAGTGCAGGACGTTTGCAGTCAGGCTGAGGTTGTCCCAAGATTTTTAACTCTCATATTCTTATTCTGTCCTCATGTCCAAATGGTTAAAGAAGGGAAAAAGAAGATTTAAAAAAAGGGCAACTCTCCCACTCCATGCAGCACAGTTGTTATTTATTGACTTAATTTATTTCTTGCCATCCAACTCTTGATTCTTGTTCTATTCAAAGTGAAGAATACATATTTTTGGGGCAAACCAAACTTGGTTGTTGAAAGTGGAGGAAGTAGGGAATTCCGAGGTGAGGAAAGAGGCTTTTTCCTCCATATGTTGTCAGATTGTGTCAAGGCATACCCTCACAGAACCCTCACAACATAAATCCTGACTTGCGTATTTGTGTTAGCACTTGCCTTCACCAAATTGCCCTTCCTGTGTTATTCATTTAACTTCTCCAACCCTAAGACTGTGGCACCAATTTCCAAGCCATTAAGCTCATTAGTCATTACAGGCTCTTGAGCAAGAAATAAATCAAGCAACCACCAATGGAGCAAGAAATGAAGCTTTTCAAAAGATATGATGAAGAAATATTTTTATTTAGGAAGTAAAAAGTTTGTGATATAAAATAAAGTATAAAATTTAAGATGTAAAGAGAGAGAGAGAGAGAGAATAGTTTAGATGAAGTAAGAAACAACTTAAGCCTGAACAATGAACTCTGAGTGGAACAGGACTAGACAAGAGGAAAACAACGTCAAAGGCATTGCAGTCAGTGACAAAATTAGTTATAAAGAGTTTTGCTGTTGGGATTGTGCTTAACGATATTTTGACTTGAAAGAGTTTGAGCAGTATTTCCAGCACCGGCTTCTTCTGTACTTTCTTTCTTTCTTTCTTTTCCTATTTGTTTTAAAAGTTTAATCATCTGAAATCCTGTTAGAATCAGTCATGGTGCATAATTTCTTAAATGCATCATTTGAATATGAGTATAGAAGAAGAAACTTAACACTAGATAAATAGGCAAGTTTTATGGTTTGAATGGCTAGTAATCTCAAATTTGAATCTTATTGGTAATCCACTGTTTAAGTTAACTTAATTAACCCAGATGATGTGCAACATATCTTTCAGGATGTCCTTTTTGAAAGTAAAATGAATCTGATGGCACCTTGCATTACTCAGGCTAATTATAAC